CTGGGTGACAGAGAAAGTGAACCATGTTGTCTCTGTCTCTTTTTATGCTGCTGTGATAAAATATGGACAACAGCAACTTAAGGAAGAAACTGTGTATTCTGGCCTCAAGTTCAAGGGTGTAGTCCATGGCAGGGAGATGAGGCGGCAGGAGCTTGTAGCAGGTGGTACATCTCACCCACAACCAGGAGACAGAGAGCAATAACTGCATGCTGCTTCTCAGCTCTGTTTCTCCATCTATACAGTTCAGGATCCCATCCTGGGTGGGAATGATGCCACACACGGTGGGTGTGCCTTCCCACCTCAGTTAAGGTAATCAAGATAGTCTCCCACAGGCCTGTCTAGAGGCCTGCGGAATCACTATCAGGTGATTCCAGATTGGTCAAGTTTACAATATTCACTGTCGAGAATATCATTTATTTTAGAATTGTAATAATGTGCAGCTTAGCTGACCCCAGTCTATTGCTCTCGGTAGAGTGTGCTCCTGTGAATTGATCTTACTTTGTCCTGCTCAGTGTTTGTGAGTGTCTTGCAGTGACACTTCATGTAACATTTCCTTATTCTTTTCTTCTGGAAACTGTCAAAGAGGGGTGTGTGCATGAATTTGCATGTTTTCCATCTTTTTTTTTTTTTAACCTGTAAATGTTGTAGTGCAGGGAACTGCTTCTCACCTGCTGTCTGATCATTTGCTTTTAGTTTGAAAGGTCTAATCTTCAATATACCTTTTGAATTTGCATTTCAGTCACAATATTTTGATTATAGAATCATATTGTAGATTAACAGGAGAAACAGTATTAAAAGAGTTTTTAAGTTAAGAAATAATTCTTAGCCGGGCAGTGGTGGCACACGCCTTTAATCCCAGCACTCGGGAGGCAGAGGCTGGCAGATCTCTGTGAGTTCGAGACCAGCCTGGTCTACAAGAGCTAGTTCCAGGACAGCCTCCAAAGCCACAGAGAAACCCTGTCTCGAAAAACCAAACAAAAAAAAAAAAAAGAAAGAAAGAATTCTTGTTATTTACCTGATGATATGAATGACATATTGGTATTTGAGATAATATCTACTAAATGGATTGCTTTTTTACTTTATCTTATTTGTGGTCTTGTCTATTCCTTTTGGACACTGTTGGAGCATCTAGAATTCATGGATAAAATTTTCTAAATCCAGATCTAATAAGTACAAAGCCTTGTCCCCTGGGTGGTTGTTATATTTGACTTTTGGTTAGCTAAATTTGGCCATCCCTCCTTTCCTCTCTCACACTACCACTGTCTGCTACTCCTCTCTCTCTGATTTGCATTTTTTTCTTGGTTCTTCATGCACAAGGCTATCCTTCTTGTTTTTGGATATTTATACATTACAAAGTCTTTTGCCTACATTTATGGACAATCAAGGTGTTTATAGACTAAAAATCTGAAAATGAATATATGCCTTTTAACTCAATTCTAGCAGAATTGTGAACTAAGATAACCTAAATATTTAACCTATTCCATCATCTTGCCAGGACCAGAAGTCAAAAGGTGAATACGTCATGTTTCATACTTCTTCCCAAAGATCTACATCTATAGAGTGTTAATGGATACCATCAACAAAGATGGCGATCTCTTTATTTGAAATGTTTCCAGGACAAATGTCGAAAGACAAGCAGGTTCTCAACATTTCTACCAAAGAGTTACACAAAAATCTTCAAGCAAGCACTCAGCACCAACAGGCCTAAGCTTAGAATCCACCAATGAACTTGACCTAGTATGCTGAAATAAAGTAATTGCTATAATGAATGTGATGTAAAGAGCCTGGGACTCATATTTTTCCATTATTTGATGACCTCTGCCTCACAATGTAGCAAGAGCCATGTTAATATGTAGAATTATTTGGGATAGCAACAAAACACTACATATGGGATTTGTACCATGGTTGCCTGGAGCAGTACACCATTGGATTTACACATACATCTGTTGATTCCCTTATGAATCCTCTCCAACATCTCTAAGCAGTAGCAGTTGAACTTAACCTACAAGTGTTGAGACCTAGTGGCTCAGCCTGATACCAAAGTATTGTGATGCTGCAATGTTGTGTCCTCACTCAGGGTCTATTAGTAGGATAACCTTATAGGTATGTGACATAGATACTTCCTCCTCAGACTCAGAGTGTCTCCTGAAATTAGGCCTTATTCTGTCATTTAAATAATACCTTCTGTATTCTTTGATTTTTCCACAGATAGATGGCCATCTCTCTCTAGTTAAGCACAAGTATGGGTATGGTGCCTTGTGCCTTAGGGAAGATAATCATCTCCACTCATAAAGTAAGAAAAGAAATAGGGCTTTTTGACTCATATCTTAAATGAAACCAAATAGATGTCTCAAATGTCTCAATATTAATTATAAACCCAAGGCATCAGCTTATGTTTTGAATTAATTTTTATTATTAGAAAACTGTGTTGCTACTACTGAGGGTATAGCTCAGTAGGTAGAGTATTTAGGTAGAATGAATGAAGCTCTGCCTTCAAATCCTAATGTCAACCAGGTATTGAGGAACACGCCTGTAATACCAGTCCTGTGGATGGGGACAGGAGCATCAAGGTCATCACCTTCTGCTGTATAATGAGTTGAGGCCAGCATGACATACATGAACCCTGTCTTAAAAATAAATAAATAAAATAACATTACAGCGTGTTGCTTGAAAACTCGCTATTTTTATTGTCAGTCTGCTACAAACTACAGCAGTGAGACCAGCAGGCAGAGTTGTACACTTAATGAGATAACATGACACTACTGGGTTGAGTGCGACAGAGCAAATTGGACTTCCAGCAACAGCCTTTCAACCTCAGGAAGCAGAAAGGTCCTGTTAAAATCTGCTTGTTTTAGGTATTTTTCTTGTTTTTGATTTTTTGTCATGAGTGTTATGCTCTTCTTAAACACACTGAATGTGAAGTAACCTAATACACACACACACACACACACACACACACACACACGCACGCACGCACGCACGCACGCACGCACGCACGCACGCACGCACGCACGCACGCACGCACGCACGCACGCACGCACGCACGCACGCACGCACGCACGCACGCACGCACGCACGCACGCACGCACGCACGCACGCACGCACGCATATATATATACATATATATTCAGGATTTTGCTATGGTTGAGTACTAAAGGATGGACACAATTCATTTTGTCAGCCCTCTAGCTCACGTTTTTCTGGGCTATGGCAGGAGGGAATTATGTTTTGTTTGTTTCTGAAACATGCAGAAAATTTGGGATTGCTTTTTTAACCATTCAAAGACACATCCTTCTCTGATGGGCCTTTCTTGTCACACGACTCACCAGCCTCTCCCCACAGACTCAGTGCAGCTTTTGACACTGTGAATGATCGTTGTCACTCCACTCTTTCAACATGCAGTGTGTTTCCTTCCAGACCTGCATGGTGCAACTCTTCCCATTAGCACTTCGTCCAGAGCCTCTCCTAGGTATGAGTCAGCACCCTAGCATTATAAAGAAATACCTGAGGCAATTAACTTATGTAAAGGAAAGAGCACTCTGGCTTATAATTTGGGGGGTTCTAGTCCAACTTCAGTGATCTCGGCCTCTGACAAGATGGAAGAAATGTGGAATGGATAACAGAGTGGAAATGCCGGGCATGGCTAGAATGACTTACATCATGAACCAGGAAGCAAAAAATAGAAGATGAGACTGGAGTTCACAGTCTCCTTTGAAGGTAGACCCTCAGTGAACTAATGGCCTCCCACTGTGTCCCACCTCTTACAGGTCACCATCTCAAAGTCTTAATACCTCCATTCTGTGAATCAAGCCTTTCGAACTCCAAACAGCACTGCTCCACACTTGGCACCATTACACTCATTCGACAGTTCATGTGGACTAGCCTTTACAAAGCCAACAAGAATAAGTGATACTCCTACATCCAGAGTCCACATTTTTACCAGGGCCTTGAAAGTGCATGGGCACTTGAAAAAAAATATCAGTAACAAGAACAAATGCCTCAGTGTAAAACATTTAAAAACAAGATGGCCTAAAAGGTACCAAAATAATATAATTATACAGTATTGCTGACCCTTTAAAACCATTAACTCAATTCTTAATCACTCTTGCCTTTTTGAAAAATCTCTCTAATAGACAGAGAATGAAGAGTCAAATTTGGGGCCTGAACTATTCCTGATGCCTGCTGTACCACTCCTCGAATTCTGCTACTGGCAATTGGGGGCTTCATGGGGGGGTGTGGAGTATCTCTATAACCAGCTCAGAATAAAACCTTACACAATACCCCATGCTTCTTAACAAGGTCATTGGAATCATTTAGTGGAGGGGGAAAAAAGTTAACCTACATTGTTCTTAACCAAAGGTTCAATGAGTAAAATTTTATGGACTTCTCTATCAAAGAGATAACATGATTACAATAGTAAAGGGAGATTGTTGGATTCTTGCTATGCATTGCCAAGGCATCTTTCTGCACACACCTATAGTAGGACAACATCACTGTATCCATCTTCCAAATGGCCCCATAGTAGAGGCTTAGCAATGCCCTCCGTTGAATCTTGTCAGTCAAGGTCCTCTTTCCATTAAACATTTCCCTAAAAGGAAATTTGTCTTCTCTGTTTCAAAGCACCTCCAGCTCCTGACTGCCTACACACATATGCATGTGCTATACACTACATGTGTGTTGGAAGTATCTGCTTAGAAACTCTGAAAACAGGAAATAAAGGACACAAGACTAAGTGCATCTTTACCTGCAACAAGGGTTGAGATGTATGGATAGATGATAGATAGATAGGTAGATAGACAGACATATAGATAGATAAATAGTACTTTTGAATACTTATTGAGTAAGTGATGTGAATCATGAAAGATTGTATGAATAAGATCCTTTAGGTTGACTACAATGGGTTGATTTTGTACAGCTACATGACAGAGAGGAAAGGTGGACAGTGACAGCAGAATCTAATTAAACACGAAGTAATTTATGTGCACAAAAGGTCAGCTCACCACGGAAAGTCTTTCATGGAAATACAGCCCCACATCATAAAAGTTGCCACCATGACGAACTGGGCGTGTTCTCGTCTTCAGCTGCTCAGTTTGACACCACTGTGAGACACAGCTCCCCAGCTGGTTGAGCAGAGACACTCTGAGAAGGTAGGAGCCTTGGGGAGCCTTGTTCTTGAGGCCCCTGATACAGCTGATCTGTATTTGTAGACGAAGCAACTGAGACTGTTCACCCTACATAAAAGGCAGAATTCTTGAATTACACAGGAACTGGGTAAAACCAAGCAATTAGCAACAATGGGCTTTTCATAGGGTAAAGAAGGGAGACAATTATTTTTGTTCAACCTGTAATTGTCAGGTATTAGCAATGATAACAGACAAGGGCCCACAATGTATAATTAAGAGGTCAAAAAGCAAACTCCCCGATGATGGGAGGGAAAGTTTAGCTAGTGTTTAAGCACAGTATGTTAATAAGCTGTGACATCAGAAACCATTCATCTATTATAGTAAGATGGAATTAGCAGGAATCCAACACTTCTAAAAACCACACAGCATGCCAGCTAAGATATTAGGGAATGGGAAACCCCAGCAGCAAGCCTCACACATGGCATGAGAAAGGTGACAATCCTAAGCAATACTAATTACAGATAATAATGCCACATCTATAAGTGACCTGCAAAACATGTCAAACTCACACCTCACCTGATCCCTCATACTCTCAATATGGCAGCTTGCCTCACAGGATTTCAATGAGAGGCCCTCCCGCAACAAGAAGAGGAAAAAATTAAGGCCTGAGTTTTATCCCATGACTTGTAACTGAGACAGGACTGAACCTTTTATGGAACATTTGAATTTCATTGCTCGTTCACAGTTGACTGAAGCAGGCCATTTCCATGTTCCATAATTGCCAAGAAGTTTATACAAATTAATGATTTGAATGAACTATTATTTCAGATTAAGTAAACACTAAAGCAGGATTGTTGAGAATTCAGACTGCATTAAGTTTTATTTCTAGACTCACAAGTCCCTGAATAATTCAGCCTTGAAGAATTCACTGAGATTTTTGTGCTACAGTCACCAATATTTTCATTTTTAAGAGTGTGTTACTCTTCCATTCAGGGGAGTGGTACTGTTAGGTTAATCCACAGTGGACAGGAGAGACTTCTTAAACTTGCTTAGAATTTATTGAGATAATGTGTATTTCCATATAGATAGTATTCTTCTAGAATTAAGTAAACAAGCAAAGTTGTTCAATTTCTTTTGTTTTCCCATTCAAATCATACTTAAAAACTAATCAGAATAACAATTATTTTTGGTTTAATTAGAAAATCTTAATTAACAACAAAGACTTAACCTTAATATTTTGGTTTCCAAAAATATTTAAAAAATTAACACCATCTGAATAAATAAGACAATCTTTTTAGACCTCAAGGCAGGATTACTGATGCAGGCAGACTGAGTTATTAAACACATTCTAAATTAAACGCCTCTATGAATTTTGTACTGAAATATATTGTGATAGTTCTGCATGCCAAATGTGACATTTTGTGTTTTTAGATTCATCTTCTGTAGTAATTTTGGAAATGTCATACAAACAAAGATTTTGTCATTTACCAACAGAATTACTATGCATGGTCGCCTAGCCTGTCTCTGTGCCGGCTCTCGTGGTTGTTTCAAGTCGGCAAGCCATAAAGAATCTTTATCTCTCTGAAACACAGCAATTTGGAAGATAATCGGATGGTGACTAGGGGGCAGAAATGCCAGTCTGAGGAATTAGACCACAATCTCTCTTGCATTTACAACCTCTGTCAAGCACATGTCAGGCAGAGGAGAAGAAGGGGAATGGCGATCCATCAAATCTCAAGCCAGTGTCATTTGCACGGCAGCAGGCCTACCTCCATGTATGGCAGAGACTGAGTCTGGTCATATCGTTACCCTGTGGTGAAAAATACCACAGATGTTTCCATGGACAGCTTTGGGCCTGTGTTTTAGCATGGAATTCACATCAAAAATATTTAGTAATACCTGCTTTCTCTGAGGAACCCCCGAGGACGGAAAAAAAATAGGTAAGGACAGTCGCACAATGGCTGTCATCATCTGGCGTTTTGCATCAGGAGAAGACAGTCAAGAGTGCTTACCTTGCGCCAAGCTCCTTCTGCTCTTTGGGATTCTTTGGCTGCTTGTGGACATGAATATGGCCCTATGACACTGTCCTTGGTATAAGGATTCCCATCTGCAGCGCACAGCTGACTTGGAGCAGCCGATATGAGAAAGAATTCAAACAGAAGAAAAGATGTTGAAAATGGAGCATGAAGAAAAGCCTTGCACTTAGAGCCGCAATATGGTCTGATGTTTTCCTTAAGTATTTTCTTGGATTGAAGAGGAATGAGAAGCACCACATTGCAGGTGTTGCACTTGACTAAAGCAGAGTTTTTGAAGTATAGTCCCATAAAATACATGACATACTATATGAGCTACTGAGCTCATCACAATTGAAGTGTCAGTTGTTTCACAACCAACCAGGAAATCAAATGCTGTTGTCTTCCATTGTCTAGGATTCCCTGTGAATGCTAGACTCCAAAGAGGCTCATGCCCCTCATATAATATGGATAGTACATATATAAAATATATAGATATATATTTCCAATGTTTATTTTGCTTTAAATACATATATATATATATATATATATATATATATTTGCTTTAAAAATATATATATTTGCATGCCTGTGACTGCAGACTCTCCTGGGGCTCAGAAGAGGGCATCAGATCCCCTGGAGCTAGAGTTACAAGGAACTGTGAGCCACCCATGTGTGTGCTGAGAAGCGAACTCAGGTACTCTATAAGATCTGCAAGTCCTCTCCACCCCCACAATGTCTTTCCAGCTCTATTTCTTACCATACACTCTAAATAACCTCTAGATCACTGGTTCTCAACCTTACTGATGCTGCAAGCCTTTAAAATATTTCCTCATGCAGCGGCGACTTCCAAACATAAAATTATTTTCACTGCTACTTTGTAACTGTAATTCTGCTACTGCTATGAATCTTAATGTAAATATCTGTGTTTTCTGATGGTCTTAGGCGAACTTTGTGAAAGAGTCATTTTTGACTTCAGGGGGTCGCCACCCACAGGTTGAGAACAACTGCTCTAGGTGGATTATTAATGGAATGTTTAATGAATGTAAAAACTATAAAAATATCTGCTATACCATATTGTTTCTATAGTATACCAATAAGAGTGAGCGTTCTGCAGGTGCTCAGTATGGCTTAAGCCATCACAGATCTAACTACATTTTCTATCCATTAGTAGTTGAATGCATAGACGCAAAAGCCACAGATGTGGAGGGCCATCCATATTTGATAAGATTTCTTGTTATTTCATTTTTCTTCTACCCATTCTCCTTTGATCCTACAAATTGTTCATGAAAACCATTTATTTAAAATAGATGCTTGGATGATATGACACATTTCCTAGCTTTAATACAAGGGCCAGCAATCAGAGGATGAGTTTCTCTCCTTAAAATGCTCCCTGGGTACTTGCTGTCCTATTGTTATGTACTCGATTTACTCAAGGCTCTTCTTCATTGTTGACTTTTGTGTTCGTCAAGCCCTGGCATAGTCTCCCTGCTTTCCCAATTGCATTTGAATTAAGAAGGATCGTATCACCCACTTCTCCTGACTTAAGCTTAATTCCATCAGCAGGGCCATCTGTGACAATGGCTGTACCCCCACCAGAGGAATAGCCTTTTGGGGTCTCACTGCTGATTCAGTTTCTGTGATACAAATTATCTCCCTTAATGTGGTTAGAGATGCATTGACACAGGGGTTCATTAGGACACCCATTTGCTGGCAATCCAATTTCAAATTAAATACACTTTGTTGTAAATTTTATTACTTTTAAACTACTGTATCTATTGTCTTTAATGGCCCTATTATACAGTTATGAAGGTAAACAGATTTCATTAGTAAACATCAAACATCCCATGTTAACCACAGTGAGATGGCTTCCCTCGGTTTCTTTCTTTGTTCGCTTGGTAAGAATTGCAAGGCATTCAGAAATATTCTATAAATTTAATCTGAATAATTGCATGCTACACTCACTATTATTATCTGAAAGGGAACAACAAACTAAATAAAAGAAAATGTGGTCCCTGGTAACAAGCAGACTATTTTTTTTAATTAATGGTTTTCTAAAAATCATTTCCTGAAAGTTGAAAGGGAGTAAGCACAAGGGAGCTTACTCAGAAACAATGTTGACTTGAGCTACTGTAAAACAATTGTGGTCAAGGTCAGGAGCCAGGAACAGGCATGGGATCCTGTCTGCCTTGAGTCCTGTGGTGCTTTAAATGAAAATGACTCCTATAGGCTCATAGGGAGTGGCACTGCTGGGCAGTGTGGCCTTGTTGGAGTAGATGTGGCCTTGTCAGAGGAAGTATGCCACTGGGGATGGGCTTTGAACTTGAGAAGCTCAAGCCAGGCCCGGTGGTGCTTCCTCTTCCTGCTGCTTCTGGATCGGGATGTAGAACTCTCATGTTCCTTCTCTAGCTCCATGTCCACCAGTGATGCCATGCTTCCTGACATGATATAAATCTCTAAAATGGCAAACCAGCCCCAATTACATGTTTTCCTTTGTAAGTGCTGCTGTGATTATGGTGTCTCTTAACAGCAATAGACACCCTAAGACAACTCCTACGTAGATCATCATTCCTGTCTTGCCCTCTGATTGATGGAACATTATTAACTTTATGATGATGAAGGCACAGCCATCTTCTGTATACACAGGTTTTGTGCTATGTTATCTAAAGAAGTGACAGGGTGGGGGGGACGGTCAAACAGCTGTATGTCTTCAATATGTGTGTTGGGCTTATTTATTTTTGACAAATCCTTCTTTTTTATTATGAATTATGTCATTTTTTATCTTTTTTTTGTTTTATGTATTTTATCATTTTTGTATTGTGTGTGTGTGTGTGTGTGTGTGTGTGTGTGTGTGTGTGTGTGTGTGTGTAGATATGGGTATGTATGTGTGAGTGCAATATCTCCAGAGCCCAGGAGAGGGTATAAGATCACCTAAAGCTTGAGTTACAGGTGATTTTTGAGCCACACAATGTGGTTAATGAGGACTAAACCTAAGCCTTCTTTGCAACAGTAGTATTTACTCTTTACCATTGAGACGTCCTTTCAGCTCCTACAAATATTTTCTAAGGCTGTTTGAGTCTGTGAATATGTTTGCCCTATAGTCACAAAATTCTAGTTGTATATGTGCTCAGCTGTGTATTATCCAAATCCTCCCGCCTACCTACAGACTGTATGTAACCTCTGCAAAATATGGGCTTTTATTCATCATGACTAAAGGGTTAAATTATTCATTTTTAATACAAAGTAAAACTGATGGTGTACATATGATTTTCTAACTTCTATTTGCTGCTTTGTACATTATATGGATTTTTGACACAACTAGATTTTTTGAGTCATCTTTAGTGTTTAATTCTGTCTACCACAGTTTACTTAAATTGCCCCTTATTGCTGGCTGTTTAGGCTAGTTCCTATTTTTGCTATTGCAAGTTAGCCTGGAATTAGGTCTCTCACATGTAAGGTCTTATGAACTACCCTGGCAATTTCCATAGTACAAAGTCCTATCATTAGAAACACTGGGCATGGAAGGGATGCTTTTCCATTCTCTTCTGGTCTTTAGTTGAGCAGAGAAATGACACTTTAGTGATCTATAATCCTAACTGCACAGCTAGTGTCTCAGACACTACATAGTCTTCACAGGGAGGCAGGCCCCACGCTGGTGGTTACTGTATTTGCACTGCAGTCAGAGCACATGTTAAGGGAATCGGCAGTAAAGAGGAAGCACCTATGCATCACAGCCTTCTCTACTGGGCTATTTAGTGGAATCCTGTCCTCTGCCCACTGAATACTCCCAGACAACCTACCTAATGCCGGTTTCTAGAATCAACATGTTGCTAGATGTTGCCAAATATTCCCTGGGGATGACGTTGACCCTTGCTGAGAACCACTACCATTCTCAGTATGATGTACCATTGAGTGTTCAGCATGCTCAGAGAACCTCTTTCAGACATGCTCCATTTCTTACCTCAATCTATCCCCAGGATACTTAACAGGGTGTTAGCATTCCTGCCTCACTGACAGGCAACTGATGTTGAAGTATGCTAACAGCCTTGTGAAAAGACACACAGGGCAGGCAAACACTATGAGACTATCCCAGCTGAATGCTTGCTTGCTCCTAACAGATACATGTTCTGACTACAGTGTGCTGAAGTGACTGCTGTGCCCACATCTTCAAGGTTCCTATACTGACCCAAGAATTTGAATATTTTCTGAGAGATTAGTCAAACACGGCTCTCAGCTACACCAGCAAGGCTAGAATACCCACCCTCCAACATCTTGGAGGTGAAGAATAGTGGCCTATCCCTAGATGATATGAGGATGTAGTTTCCAAAATCTTGACCATCTGATTGAATCAACCTATGGGTACCTACCACCTGCATACTTACACACACACACACACACACACACACACACACACACACACACTAACTACAAGGCACAAACCCTTAACATTAAGGAACATACTTCTCAAATGGTTTTTCCTTTAAACATGACATGGGAATGTTCTGGCTGAGTCTTTTACTTTTAAATTTCAAATCCTGTGTGGAAGAAAAGAGAAATAAAAGCAAAATTTATAAAAATCTATTTAGCACATGCCCGAAGTATCTATAGAGCAACTGGGCTCTCTCTAAGACCAGAATATGCTAATCCTCCAAAGTTATGATTCCATCAGACAAATAAGAACAATGGGATTCTACCTAGGGTAGCTACATTTCCACAAAACTATTTTCCTCACTCACATAATTGCTGCCCAGGAAGATACAGGGAGTAATAAACCACATAATCAAAAAAGGACAAACAGCTGGTGGATACTAACAGAGATTCCCTTGTCTATTTCTAATTCTTATTAACCTGGCTCCAATCCCGTCATCCTCCATGCATCCCTCACTCCCTTTCTCTCCTTTTCAAACCTTATATTCTCCCCAAACATAGTGTCACATGGTTTCACAACATATACCTGGATGTGTGACTAAAGGTATAGAACACCAGAGACATTGCAGTATTTTAGACATGGGTTTCATCATCCATCCCAGCCTGGTTTGGAAGCAAAAGGGGAAACAATTACACTAGAACAATTAGTCTCATTTGAGCCTATGTACACGAGGACATGCAGGAGCCCTATTAATATCTGTGCAGATATTAATATACTAATATAATTCACATGAGCATACTCTACAAGGGGGAGGGGGAGCTGGACATGGGTGTGAGTTGGTAGCTAGGATCACAGGTTCATGCGCCTGTGAAATAGATGTTGCATGCTCTTTCATGAAGTCTCAACATACATATGTAAATGAGATCCTGTGGCTCTGCACCTTCCCCATCTATACTGCTACTGCACAGGAGATGAACTAAAGATGGTATAGGCCCAATGATATATATGTATGCAAAGATCACCTTGAAATCCATTATTTTATGTAGTTACTGAAAACATTGACATGAATCAGAATGGCCCATACATGTTCATTAAAAAGGGTAATAAATTCAGAAGTCTATAAATTGTTAGTAAAGAGAAGAGACTTTACCACTATCATAGACATAGACAAAACATATATATAGTCATTTTCTTCTTTCTCCACTGTCCATCTCTCTTTCCTCACTCTCTCTCTCTTTCTCTCTCTTTCTCTTCCCATGTTAAAAACCCTAAGTCTTACAGCAATTCATCTGCACATTAAAATTCCATATATCAGATGTTTAAATTCTTAGTGACAAAATTAAATTATTAAATATTAAAATGGCCTTTGAATTCAGTCTAATCCTCAATGTCTTCAAATAATATAAATATTTACATGAGATATGTCACCAATTTTGCATGAACTATTTTCTATAGTCATTAGAGCATTTTAACTTTTTCCAAAAGAATTATACATATTTAAGTATATACTTACCATTAATGTTGACATATTAAACCTTTACATATCAATCATGCATATGTATTATTCCTGTATGTGCCAAATCTCTGTGTGTGCAGTATAATTAATAACTCTACTCTGGTCATTGAAATGAATACCATTGAATTAAATCAAAAATTAAAGTTTTGAGGAATGAGAAACAATAAAATATTATTCTTTAATTTTTTTATATTTTTGAGATTAAAATATAATTACATCCTTTTTCCTTCCCTCTCCTCAGTTCAGACCTTCTCATATACACTTCCTTGATTGCTCTGACGGTCATGGCCACTTTTTCATCCATTACTGTTCCACACACACACACACACACACACACACACACACACACACACACACACACACACACACATTCCTAAATACATAATACAACCTGCTCAGTATGCATAATGCTACCTGTATGTTTCAGGGTTAGTATTTGGTATTGGTTAAGCAATTTGTGTACTCTTCCTGGATAAGACTATTTCTCCTACTCTCAGTATCCCTTAGTTTCCTGTACTTCTTTGTGCAGGATAGAAGCCTCCTAGCATATCTATCAGTATCATCTTTGTTCTGCTATGTTTAGACAGGCATGTTGGTGAGATTTTATGAGTGTAGCTTCTGACATTCTTAGGAGACATAATCTCATAGTAAATTGCCTGTTCCTCTGGCTCTCACAATCTTCCTGTCCCCTCTTCTGCACTGATCCTTGAGCCTTAGGTGCAGGAGTTGTAGTGCTGAAGTTTCCACTGGGACTGGGCTTCACAACTCTGCATTTTATTAGGCTGTGGGTTTCGAGAATACACTTGAAGGGTATAATCTTACTAAACACTGAGATTCCATCTAATACCTGTCAGAATGGCTGAGATCGAAAACACAAGTGACAGCACAAACTAATGAGGATGTGGAATAAGGGGAACACTCCTCTTTTGCTGGTGGAAGTGCAATCTCATACATTCACTATGTAAGTCAGTGTGACAGTTCCTTAGAAAAATAGGAATATATCTACCTCAAGATCCAGCTATTCCACACTTAGGCATTTACCCAAACAATGCTTCATTCTAACCACAAGGACACTTGCTCAACCATGCTCATTGCTGTTCTATTCATAACAGACAAAATTTGGAAACAACCTAGATGTCTTTCAACAGAAGAATTGATAGAAAATGTGGTACATTTACACACTGGAGTATTAATCAGATATTGAAAAACAGGCATGAAATTTGCAGGGAAAAGTCAGGCGTTGGTAGCACACGCCTTTAATCCCAGCACTCGGGAGGCAGAGGCAGGCGGATCACTGTGAGTTTGAGGCCAGCCTGGTCTCCAGAGCGAGTGAGTGTCAGGATAGGCACCAAAGCTACACAGAGAAAACCTGTCTTGGAAAAAAAAGAAAGAAAGAAAGAAAGAAAGAAAGAAAGAAAGAAAGAAAGAAAGAAAGAAAGAAAGAAAAAGAAATTTGCAGGGAAATGGACAGACTTAGAAAAATCATCCTAAGTGAGATAACACAGACCCACAAAGAGGTTAGACATAGAAGAAGGAACTGTGGGGACATGGATCTCCCTGGACATGGGAAATACAATAGTTTTATGGGTGGACTGGGCACTAAAGGGGATGAATTGGAGGATCAAGTGAGGAAGGGAAGGGGACGTGGACTTGAAGGAAGAAATGTGGGGAGAGACAACTAGAATTGAAGGGCATCTGAGGGTTGGTATGGAAACCTAGTGCAGAAAACACTTCCTAAACATATGAAGATGATCCTAATGAAGTCTCCAAATAATGGGGTAGATGGAATTCCAACGGGCCATCTCTTGTCACAAAATGAAACTTCTACTACCAGGACTAGGTTACATCCAATTGAGTTGTTGGCAAAAATGATCTTATGTAAATCATTAAACAACCCAGGCTATTGCCAACACAATAGGTTGCTATCCACAAACTGACAGTAGGGCCCCATTGCCAAACAGAACTATACAACTCATTGAACATGGAGATGTTGAATTGATGCCTATATAGACTTCACCCCTACATTCCATTGTCTTTGGTACAGGAATATACTCCATATGCTAGCAAATGAGAAATGTAAACATCAAGCCACAAAACCTTTATCTACAATGATGCACTACCTGCAAAATATACTAAGGCAATGGTGCCACAAATATTGTGGGAGTAACCAAGCAAGAACTCATCTGACTTAAGGCCATGAAAGGGAACCAATACTGACACTCTGTAGTGACTTAAGGCCTACTTCATGAGAGGGAACCAATACTGACACTCCGTAGGTGACCAAGAACCAGAGACTAGATTGTAGCATGAATAATAATAATAAAAAAAAAAAACAGAGACAGATATTGGTGTTAAAGCTGAAGATCGGAGAAGCAAAGTTGTCAGAAAATAGAGAGTTCTCACCTCGGCCAATGCTCAGACTGAAGGGGTGATCCACTGAACCTCAGCCTGATCTGCTCTCTACCAAAGCCCAGACTCCCTGAGCTCCTGTCTCCTGCCTTATATTCCTCTTTAGTGCTGGGATTAAAGAAGTGGGATCCCAAGTGCTAAGGTCACCTTTGTGTGAGTTCTGTTTGTCTTTTAGACTGTATCAATTTCTTTCGTGTAGCTCATGGTGGCCTTGGATTAACAAAGTTCTGTCTGTCTCTGTCTCCCAAGTGCTGGGATTAAAGGTGTGGACTGCCACTGCCTGGCCTCTATGGCCAGATAGTATGGCTAGTTTTGCACTCAGATCTTTAGGCAAGCTTTATTTGTTATATCATAAATAAATATCACCACTTTAGACAGCCCAGAGATCTAGAGTAAAACCAAAAAAATCCTGATTTTAAAATAGCAGTGACAAAATGACTCCTGATGATATTCTGCTATACTTATAGATCAGTGGCCTGTTCACTTATCATCATCGAAGCTTCTTTGTGAAGCAGATGGAAACAAATACAAAGACCCACGGCCACAATTCACACATACAGAGAGAGAGAGGGAGGGAGAAGAAAGAGAAAGACCTCGGAACATTCAACTTGAAATGGAATGGAGGCACCAAATCCCTCCTATCAGAGTTCAAGAAGAGGATAAAAGAGTGTAAGAGCCAGAAGGGATGGAGGGCAGCAGGAGAATAAGTCCCCCTAAATCAACTAACGGAGCAGAGCTCATAGGAATTCACGGAAACTGAAGCAGCAACACAGGGTTGACTGGGTCTACACCAGGACCTCTGTATGCATATATTATAGCTTTCAGTGTAGTATTATTATGGGACTCTTGAGTGTGAGCAAGTCTATGATTCTTGCACCTTTTCTTGTGTTCTTTTCCTTCTGCTGGTTTGCCTTGTCCAAGTTTGATGTGATTTTTTTTTTATCTTATCATATTGTATTTTGTTATGTTTTGTTGTTGTCTCTTGGGAACTTGTATTCTTTTTGTTTGCTGAAGAAAGGGAGTGGATCTGGATGGGAGGGCAGGTGGGGGGAAGGGGGGGGGGGGGGGGGGGGGGGGGGGGGGGGGGGGAGGGGAGGGGAGGAGAGAGGGGGGAGACTGTAATCAAGATTTATTTTCTGAGAGGGGAATCTATTTTCAATAAAAATAAAATGATAAAAAATCAATGTGCTGCCAGGTGGCAGTGGTGCATACCTTTAATCCCAGCACTCAGGAGGAAGAGG